TACATTACCTCTTTTAGGTATGCTGGGGTATCACTGATGAGGGAAATTTTATGTTAATTTAGATTCTTGTGCCATGGGAGTGGGGACCAGATAAACTGCACTGGTTCTGGTATTTCATTAAGGATGATAGTGGTCACTATTCCTTGCTCTCCTGAGACACTTTTCCTCAAAGCATCACTAATCTGGCCAATAGTCCAATGGCAGACATAGAAGAATGGGGCACCTTTTTTCGACATTGTGCTAGGAACTGATGTAATTTCCGAAGGTGTTGGGATGCCAGGGCAGGAAAGAGTTTTTCAGACTAGGACACATTAGTTCTTCATAGCCCCCTATCTATTCCCTGCCCCAGTGAATAGAGACACTCAGCACTCCCTTCCCTAACAAGGAAATGTGTTTCCTTATCGTGCAAGCACCTTGCCCACAGTCATAGAGATTTTGACAGAGAAGGTGTAAAACCCCAGTTCTCTTGGTGGCACTTAAAAAAACTCTACTATTATTTAATTATGCCTTAGAAGCTTGCTTGTTTTCTAATGAGAGACAGAAAGGGGTGGATCCAGGATGGGAGGTCAAGTGGGAAGGAACTGGAGGAATAAAGGGAGGGAAACTTAATTAGGCATACCTAGTTGTCCAAATATAGAGTTAATATAATTCTTTTCCCCTTTTATTAAAAATAGATTTTTTTTCTCAGATAATTGTATCCTGACAGACTCTTTGCTCCAGTCTCTGTGAGTTCATGTGTGAGCTGATCTTGTTGATTTAGAGGGTCTTGTTTTCTTGGTGTCCTCTATTCCCCCTGGTTCTTATATTCTTTCTGTTTCCCCTTCTGAAGGGTTCCCTGAGCCCTAAGGAGAGGCATTTGATGGAGATGTCCCATTCAGAGTGTTCCAACATCTCTCACTCTCTGCATATTGGCTGTGTGTCTCTGTGTTTGTTCCCATATGCTGTAGGAGAAAGCTTCTCTGATCATGATGGCTGAGTAAGACACTGATCCACGAGTGTAGTAAAATGTCATTAGGAGTCATTTTTATTGCTCTTTATCAATATTATTATTATTAATTATTATTATCAAAGAACAGTTGTATTTCATTTTACCCTAGGTCCCTGGGCTTATCTAGTCTCTGGTTTCTTGATCACTCAAGCAGTGTTGGGTATGGTTCCATTTTAAGGAGTGGGCCTTAAGTCAAATCAGATACTCGTTGGTTACAGGTTTTGTGCCAGCATTACCTTAGCATATCTTGCAGGCCAGACATCATTATAGGTCAGAGGTTTTGTGGCTGGGTTGGTGTCTTCAGAGGACCTACCTTCCTGTACTAAAGGTAATAGAATGAAGGGATAAAGGCTCCATGTAGGTACCAGCTCAGCTTCTCCGGCTCAGTGAGTTGTGTATGTGTTGTCTTCAGCAATGGGGCCTTGCCATCAGTTTGTGGAGAGCAACCTGTAGTCTTGACAGCAGTCTGGGTTGTTTGGGGGGGTTCCCATGAGACCCCTTTGTCTCTTTTTACCCAGACAAGGATTCAGTTACTTGGTGACTAAGTCCTAGTCCTCTGTACTTCTGAACACAGGCCCTGGCTCTTTGCTGTCTCTGTAGAATGTAATATGGAACAGAAATGGGGTGGAGGTCATCTAGGTATGACAAAATGCATGTCTGCCACTGGCCCTTGATACACGCCTCTGGGTTATTTGCACAGTGGCACTTGGAGAAAGCATTTTGAAGCCTTGATTTATCTTTTTGTCTTTGTTGTTTCTAGTAGTTTTCACTCAAAGGCAAGAACACACTTTTAAATTGCCCCTTTAAACTCTACAATGCTTATGCCACAAAGGGACACATGAAAGGAACAATAGCACATTCTCCATGTGTGAGCACACTTGAGGTCTCCTTTGGTGAGGAGATCTATGGGACATGGGCACAAAGCCCCTCCTGCAGCTGACGGATAGCCAGCCCTTGGGTGGAAGTCCCATGACTGGGGAGAGGCCCTGCTGTTCCCCGCTCAGTGGACATCCGTCCCCACCCTTGCATGACCAGTAACATTTGAGACTCTGTCCCCACCATTCCTAGGATGCCATAGAAGTTACTGGCAGGGACATCATGTGCAAATTAAAGGAGTGAAGTGTCTGAAACCAGTGGCCTGGGCTTGAGTGCTGGTGTTGGCAGTTCTGAATAGTGCGGCCTTGTGTAAGTCGCTTAGTTTCTGTGAGGGTTTTTGCATCACTTAGCTTCCTCTGTGGAGCACTGGCTTGTGCTGCACATCCAAGACTCAGTGGGACAAGAGAACTCTGCAATTCCGTTTCCCTCCTTGATGCTGTACCAACCCTCCCATTCTACGTAAAATAACATGAATTTAATGCCTCCTAGTTCTGAAGGCTGAAGTCCAAAATCGGTTTCACTGGGCTAATGCCAAAGAGTTGGAATGACTGGATCTTTCTGAGGGCTTTGAGGGAGAGCCCATGTTCTTGCGTTTATTGTATTTCGCTTGTGGCTCACTCTCCCATCTGCAGAGTATATCAACCCAGTTCAGCTTTTCTCATCTCATCCCTTCTGGGCAAGAGCTCCTTTGCTTGTGACTACACTGTTTCTACCTGGAGACCCAGGGTCAATCTCTACCTCAGGTCCTTTGCATTCCCATTTTCACTGTAGTATAATAACTACAGGTTCTGGGAATTAGAATGAGGACATCTTTGTGGACTAGCCTGCCACGCTGTCTTGTCCTTGTTTTTTTTTTTTTTTTTTTTTTTTTTTTTTTTTTTTTTTTTTTGGACCTGGGAGACAGGTCTGATAGAAAGCCCTTCATTTGTGCAGGGAGGTGAATTCATGGGCTTTGGGTGGGGGGCACTGCAGTTGGGCTTTAGGGCATTAGGAATCTGTCAGAGGGTATTTGTGTAAAGGGCATAGTGTATGACAATGCATGTCCTGAGATACTCAGCACACAGCAAGGTAGGTGGAGTGTGCTGGCTCAGGAGGGGCTCTGGGCAGAAGGTGGCAGGTCATGTAGAGCCTTGGTGGCAGGTCATGTGGAGACTTGCAGAACACTTTTTTTTTTTATTTTGAATTTTATTTGAATTACAAACAAGATTGAATTACATGACAATCCCTGTTCCCTTCTCCCTCCCTTCCTCCCCTAGCACCCCCCAACTAAAGTCCTACCTATCACATAGCCTTTCTTCTAATCTACACCTGACTCAACCTTTCTGCTCCCTCATGACCTCTGCATCCTTCCTCTTCTTCCCTTCTCATTCTCGTAGCTCCCTCCCCCCTCTTCCCATGCTCTCAATTTTGCAGAACCCTTTTAAGAGGTCTGGTTCTTATATTAGAATGGGGTTTTGTGAGATGGCTACTGCCATTAACTTTGGAGTCGTGGCTCGAGTTAAATTCCTGTGCTGCCACTTAGTTGATATAAACCATGGAAAACTGATGAACGTCTCTTGAGACCTCAAAAGGCACTTTTGAGAGACAGACAGCCTTTGAGGTTTTCAAAGCACATATGCTGGTGCCTGGGATAGTCCAAAGAGCCAGGAGGAATTTGTTGTTAATGCTGTGGTTACTTTGGTAAATATGGAGTTGCTGTAGGTGATGGTCATGAGGGTTAGCAGGGGCCTTTAAGTAACTGTGTAGTGGGTGCAGTGCCACTTCAGACTGACCTCTGCACACATGTCCTGGGAAGATGTGAGGACTATGGACAAACCACTCTGGGTGTCAGAATGCCACTAAGAGGCTGCTGAGATACCTTGAGAGGGGAAGAAGTAGAGCCAAGTGGGCTAAGAAGGCCCTGGTGGCCTTGGAGTGCTTGGGAGATGCCTTTGCTGTCCCCATCTGAAATGCTTCACAAGGACTATAGAAGCCATCTTGAATCAGTGCCTGGGCCTCATGTTCCTTGCCTGTTCCTGGGTGCCCTGTCCCTTCCATCACAGTGCTCAGGTCTTCAGCACCTGCCGTGGAGCAGATGAGCTGGGAGGGTCTGTGGGAGGGAGGAGGCTTTTGTTGGCAGTGCAGCTTAGATTTGCCTCATGGTATTGGTGGGATGCTCTGCATCCATGGACCTCTCTTCCCAGTTCCTGGAGCCTTCTTCCGCCATGCCCCTCACAAACACCTGCCCAGTCCTGGTACCACAAAACTCAGAGATTCTTTGGGTTTGAACGAAATAAAGTGGCTTTGGCTTCCCTGAATGGGATGGGTACCGTGCGGAACAGGCTGCTTGGGAGGGGGTGTGAGGGAGCTGTGGGTTCAGGAGCCACAGAGAAACTCAGAGTCCCACAAAGTGCACGCACAGGGTCTGAGAACTGTGTGTCCCCTACAGTCTTCACTCACACCCTTCATACATTTTCAGGAGGAAGCCAGTTCAATGGGAGGCACCGTGGTGAGACTATGATTGTTACTGCAGTCATATCTTAGCCTGCAAAGACGGTGGAGGAAAATATATTTCAATGCCATGTTCAAAAGAACTGTCATTTTTGACATAGTAAATGAGCTTTTGGAGAATGATGTAAGGGTGTTACTATCAATGTGTTCCATTTCCTTCAGTTGAGATTGATGCATGATGGAGGAAAACAAATCTAAGCGGGGCTACTAATGGGTGGGGGTTCTGAATGCAGGTACACATGCACCACACACACACACACACACACACACACACACACACACACACACACACACAAATAACAAATCAGAACCACAGGCTCAGTTTCCTCTGCATACATTCGTACATCTCAGAAGTCTTTTTTAAATGACTAAACATGGGTTTACAAGAAGAAAGCTGGGAGAGAAGAAACACACTAACAACCCCGACTTTGAATCCATGAGTGATGAGGCAGATTCACTGATAAGACTTGTCCTTTTCCCACCCCCAGTGTATCACAGTGACATCAGCGAGATTCGTTGGCATGCAGCCTGCTCTAGACACTGTCTGGGTATCAGGTCCAGGTAGTCCTTGAGGCCATCTGTACTGTTTATGTTCCTTTGGCATTCTCTTCCACACTGACATTTTTTTTTCTTTCTTTTTTTTCAGGAAAAATCAGTTGGTGTCTGACAAGGCCAGCGATAAGCCAGATGCCCTGTGGCTAGGTAGGTGAGGCTCATCCCTCTGCTGTGTCTGGGTAGTGGCAGGACTCCTTCCAGGCTTGGTGGGAGGCTCCTCACTACCCACCTCAGGGCCATGGTGCTCTGTTCCTTTGGTGTCTCCATCTACTGCCCGCCTTTCTCCTCTGGACAGCTAGTTCTTACAGAGGGATTGGTTATCTAGTTGGATGTAGTCACAAATGCTTGCAAACCCAGCACTCTGGAGGCTGAGGCAGGAAGATCCCAAGTTGGAAGCCAGCCTGGGCCATATGGCAAGACCTTGTGTCCAAAACCAAGTCAAACCAACCAACTCACCAAACAGAGAATAGATTGTCTTCCCAAACCAAACCAGGCCAGCCAACAGAAACTAGGTTGCTTGTCTCTGGACCTGCAGAGCATAGGAGTTCTTTGGTCCATTTAGAATGTTTCTGGAAAGACAGTTCCAGGCCAAAATATGAGGTAGCTCTGCCTGGGGAGGCATATCCATTTAAAAGGTTTGTAAGCATGGTTGAGGTGTAAATGCATAGAAAAGGGAGAGGGGCTCCACTCCCGCGCTCAGCCTGTGCATTTCACATAGTGGCTCCATCTGTGTCACTGCACTCACATCAAAACAGAGCATTCATTTCCACTTTAGCTTTGAAGCCGTTTCTTTCTGTCTGTAATCCTTGAAGACAGAGTCTGGTAGAAACTCTCGAGTGGAGGACGAAAGGGCAAAGTTGGACATGAGAGGGTGAGCTTGAGTGCTCTTGAGTCGGCTCTCCTCCTGGAAGCCAGCCCCTTTACCTGCTGGCCTTTTTTTGGCACACAGAAGCTGTTCACTCACTTTGACTCTTTCTCCCTTTTAAACATTCCTTTTTAAGCTGTAGGAGGAGAGGTGTACTCTTAGAAGTTCCTGGGTTGGCTGTGCAGCCGACAGTGAGCTTTGGTCTAGCTCAAAGTACAGGCCGGGGCTCTGATCATGGAGGCAGGCTTGTTGATGCTGCCTAACACACTTCAGAGGTCCCAGAGCCTCAGAAATCACCAGGATCTGCTGGTGGGGATGATGTGGCCCTGCCCAGGAAGGGCAGGTTTCTGTCTATGGCTGTGCAGAGTAAAGGATGGAGTCAAGAAGCCCTGGCATTCAAAGCTTCTGGGTTGTGCAACTCTTGAAGCTTTTCTGATGAAAGTGACTCGTGTTTAGACACAAAGCAACATAGTTCCCGGCCTTCAGAACCCCTCTCGGAAGGGAGGCTTTTTGGCAGTTCCCAGAAGCCATTTGAAGTACTTTCTGGAAGGAGGGGACCCTCTGATGCTGGCTCAAAGGGTGATTCAGACAAGGAAAAGGAAGCAAAGGATGAGAACAGAGATAGGGAAGAGAAGCACAGAGAGGGTTGAGGGAAAAGGGGTGGGGTGGGGTGCAGGCAAGAGGCAGCACATTCTGGGAGAGGGTCCCTGTTCCCTTCTGTTTCCCTTTAGATGGCTTTAGGAGCCTTTGTTTGCAGCCCCTGCAGACATAGGTGAAGCCTAGCTGAAGGCAGGCTGCCAAGTGGAGGATATCTTGTCTTCTTTGGGGGCAGAACCGGATGGCCCCAAAGAGAGAGGTGTCCTCCCACAGAAACACACGAGCTTCAAGAGATACAGGGGATAGGTTTTGTGATGGGCCCTGGAAGGTTTGTAACAGAGTGGCATTCAGGCTTTGAAGGATGGGCCAGGTCTTGCCCCAGGGAGCTATGGAAGGAACTGTGCAAGTAGAGGCAATGATGAGCACGAAAGAGGCTATGGAGAGGAGCAGGGCCCATGGGGCAGAGGGTGTCAGGATGCGGCTGGTGCAGGCTGAGAGAGAGAGGGAGAGAGACCCAGAGAGAGAGAGAGAGAGGGAGAGAGAGAGAGAGAGAGGGAGGGAGGGCGGGAGGGAGGGAGAGAGAGAGAGAGAGAGAGAGAGAGAGAGAGAGAGAGAGAAAACGCTTGTTAAGGTTTGGACCAAATCACTGGGTGCCAGGTGCCGCCAGGTGCCAGGTGCCAGGTGTCAGGTGCCAGGGCTATGCATTAGGCTGTGTAGACTTGGCACAGGTTGGATTTCCATGTAGGAACCCCCGGAAAGGGACTTGTGCGGAGATCCTGAGAGTCACAGCAGAGTGATGAGGGTCTTTTGTCCCTAGTCAGTCCTCAAGAGCACTTCAGGACCTCACAGGCCACCTTAACAGGCTGCTTCTCTGACGTCTCATGGCAGAGTTCATTGTCTTATTCTCTGCTTCTGAACCTTTGCCTAGGTTCCTGCCCCAGCACACTTTACCATTGTGTTTGGGGACAGTGTCTCTTTCTCTGGGCTGGGATCTCTTGGAGAACACAATGGTACCTTTGCCAATTCTGGGCCTCTCTGTCCTATGCTGGTCTCTAGTATATTAACTATGGGTGTTTGATAGAGCACAGACCCGAAATTCCAGCTTCTTGGAAGTCTAAGGCAAGAGGCTTACCATGAGTTCAAGGCCAACCTGGATTACAAAGTGAGTTCAAAATAAAAAGTGAAAAAGAAAGCAGGGAAGGATAAGGATAAAGCTCAGTACAGATCACCTGCAGATACACAAGGCCCTGGCTTCAGTGCTCAGTTCTACAAACAAACAAACAAACAAACAAACAAACATGTGCTTTTGAATAAATAGAAAACACTCTTTCTGGGACAATGGAGACACAAGGGGTAGACATGAGGTATTTGAGAGATGGAAAAAATCCAGAGTCTGGAGCCATAGTGGGTGGAGAGAACTGAGGTTCCATCTTGGGACACTAGGGGAGAGGGGAGGGGATCCTTATCAAACCCAAGTCTTGGAGGCCTGTCAAGTGATGGGGGGCTCCCAGCGGATACCCTGGGGCCATTAGGAAGCATCTGAGGAGTTCACACAGAAATGAGCCTGATGGCCATCCCTCTGTGGAATCAGCATCAGCACCATGCCTCTTGCTCTCTGCATTCCACCTAAAGGGAAATCTTCTTCTCTCTCTACCCGTATACCCCTCCCCACAATTTTTCCCTCCAAAGCATATATGAAATGGGAAAACAAACCCCTAGCTCCTGTTCAACCAGACATTCATATGACAGCCTTAAAAATAGCATTCTCAAACCACTGGCATTTGCAGTTTGGTGCTTTGGCCAACATGTCATTCCTTAGCACTTTGTTTTTCTCTTGCATGGCGGTCTTGCCACATCTGGTCCTGAGGCCTGCTATGTGGTCCTGAACCAACTCTCTGTGCTGGGCCAGGTCCACCCTGTAGAATATAAGGGAGGTGCCTGCTCTACTGCTCACCCCCGCCCCAATGTGTCATGAGGCCTGCTTCCTAACTCCCAGCCTCCGTCCCAGATTCACTTTATGGGCTGAGCAGAGTATGGTGCTAACCCCCCCCCCCCACCCCCAATATACCAAACAGAGGTCTCCAACTGAGCTCAAACTGTTCCCTTCATCCCCCAGGAGTCAGGCCAACTCCAGGCATTGCAAGGTGCCCTTCAGGTCTGATAGAGTCACTTAGGTTGCTCTGCCTGGAAGGCTGGGGCCTCTGGTGCCCACAGTGAGATAAGCCATATGTTTCTGGTCTCGTTTCTCACTGTGTACCTTTTCAAAGGCTGCCTGTCAGCCATGTTCTCCTGTCTGCCCTCACATTTCCCTTCAGCTCTCGTGGTCTTAGGCATGGGCTGCATCTGTTCCCGCACAGTCTGGGCATTGCCTGGAATGCATGTGTCTTTATTTGCCACCTCATTTGATTTCTTCTTCTTCTTCTTCTTTTTTTTTTTTCTACCCAGCACCATGTTTTAAAATCCATTCACGTTGCTGGGAACATCTGGTTTCTATTTCTGGTTATTTTTATAAGGCCATGGTCACAGAGATTCAAACCAAGAAAGGTCTCCTTTAAATCTAGCTTTAAAGTTCAGCCTTAAAAAATATTCTTTGACAGTTTCATACATGTGCAGAATGAATTTTAGTCATTTTCACCCTTCTTGCCATCTTTCATCCCCCCCCCGCTTGCTGAAACCCCTCCTAACAGTCCCCCACTCCCATTTTCATGTCTTATGCTCTTATCCCCTGGATGAGTTTTCCTTGTGTGGCAGCTTGCTATACCTGATGGAGGAAGGAGGGTGTTGTGAGGGACAAGTGGGAAGTTGGCCTGAGATTCCCTTCTGTGCCCCCTCCATGCCAGGCTCACCTTGGCAGTATCTCTGGGGAGCATGTGCTCAGCCTTGCTAGCATGCTCACCTAGGGGTGCCTTCTCCTGGGGTCCTTTATCTGAGCATTCTAGTAGATGCTTCACAGAAGGGGGAAGGCCAGAGGGTCTTGCCAGCTGAGATGTCACAGGCCGGAGCTGCTGAAGACTCGGGCAGGATATTTTTTCTCCTCCTTAATCATCACAGCTGTGAGATGATATACCCAAGAGATGTCCTGGAGTCCCTTCTAGCTGGAGGTCCAGGGAAGGCAGGTACCAAGTGGTTTACAGTCATCTTGGTTAGTGTTTGCCTCTGCCACTTTCTGCCTGCTCAACCTGAGACAGCTACATCACTGCCTATGCCTCATGTCCTTGTTGTAAGTGGGGACTATAGGAATCAAGGTCTCAAAAGACCAACTTGGGGTTGGGTGGCACAACTCAAATGTCCAATAAATAGCACTGAGGATAGTAAGAATGCTATTATTGTTGCATAAATATGACTCCTTCTTTAACACTGGCCTCTTCTCATGTGTCTTTGGGGTGACAGCAGTATGCCTCCTGCTCACCTTTTGTAAAGAATGTATCAGAGCTGGGTTTGGATGAGCCTGCCTCATTGGCTGTAGGTTCTAAGGCACTAGATTCACTCTGTTTACCTGTGGCACAGCAAGGGAGGGGTGATGGCCAGGAGGGGGGTCCCTCTTTGCCTTCTTTCCTGGTGGGGGAGGACTGGGGCCCAATGTGGAGGCTATTATTCAGGCTGAGGCATTTTCGAGTTTTTCTGAAGTTCTCAGTGTGATGGCTGTGTAAGTGACTTCCCGTTCCATTTTCCCTGAGCCACACCATGGCTATGTTTTCTTCCAGAGGATGTTGAGGATGAACTGATAAAAGAAGACATTGTCCTATCCCCACTTCCATCAATGCCCAAGCTGCAAGCTGTGTCAAAGCCAATTGACCTCTCATTGGCGAAGGTAGGTGCCCATGCAGAGGTGTAAGGAGTTTGCATTAAAAACAACCTACTGCAAATTGTACAACTTTGATATTTTTGGCTCGGTGGTTCTTTCTCATTATAATCCCTTGAATATTGTTGAAGTGGGAACTGGGATCTGATGGATAAGAAACCTAACCAAGTGTCGGGAGAACTGTCTTAGTCCTGGCTGCTCTCCTGCTTCCACGAGACAAAGTGAGAGGACTGTGTCTTCCTCTTCTAGATGCTGCAGGACCCTGCTCTCTAGCCCAGAGCTGCCTCACCTGCTGAGGCGTGCCATTAATGGAGTGGTTGCCCTGTGAGACGGGCTCTGTGCCTACACTGACTTTATGCACTAGGCTCTGGGCAACTGCAGAGCTGGAAGGACGGAAGGCTGGCAGTTCATCAGCATACCCAAGTTTGAACCTGTGGCCTTTTAGATGGACCCATGACAGCAGGTTCCCTGCCTTATGGCCTCCTTGGCATAGGTTCCCTGTGTTCCTCAGGACCCTTAATTGCCAGGGTGGCTCACCCCTCCTGCAGGATGAAGCGTTAATCCTGCTGTCACACACCAGCCTTTCAGCCAGGATCCAGAAGCGGCTGGAGATACAGCCAGCTTCTTTCTTGTCCCACTTATCTGTGTGTACTTAGCACATAGATCCTGATGTTAAAGCTTTTTCTTGAGGTCTTGTTTTCCCTTCCCTTCTTTGTTTCTCTCTGTTACAGCTTTTGAAGCTACAGAGGGCTAGACACTTGGAAGGGGCCCCAAAACTAGGTACCTTGCTCTGACCATCCACAGTCACTGGGCCTCTGTGCAAGCACTTCCACTTGGTGCTGAGCCCTTGGAGGCCCCCAGAGACTACCCATCAAGAGTTGTCCCAAACCAGCCCGAGAGAATTAATTTCATAGATGGAAGAGGACAGGGCTCAGGTTTCTGGGCTGTTAAACGTGCTGTGGTGTCCTGGAGCTGTCACTCTTTGGCTAAGAGAAGGCAACAGCATCCACCCAGAAGACCCAAGTCTGTAGTTCTCAGGCTGTTGGAAGAGCATTCCAAGCACACTTATGGTTTCTCTTGGCACAGCTGGGGAACCAAGCCCTGATGGATGAATTCATTTATCCAGTGTGCTGTCAGCTACATTTGATGACGACATGTAGACACATGTCTATGTCCTGGAAATTCCTTGTACTAAGGGAAGAGATGAAAGAATTGATTGTAGTTGACAGTAATCCAGGTCCACCGGAGGAGCCTGACCTTAAGAGCAGGCTCCAGGAAGGGGCTGGAGACAAGCCTGCTAGTCCTAGAGGCGTCTTAGGGCTTCAGAGTACCCCACCCTTGGTTGTAAAACTGTGACTGAAAGCCATGAGCCATCATGGGGTAGCAGAGGGTGGGGCCCATCAGCATGAAGCATTGTTATTGCAAAGTGGACAGGAGTGCTTGGGTTACTAGAAGATGTACCACAAAATGAATATCCTCTGAAATCTGGAGATTTTGGAGATCTGGAAGAATGGAGACATGGCCTTAGGAGGTGGTAGGATCCTATGGGTGGTAGAATTCTCCATAAGATTTAAAGGAAGATCACTTACAGGTAGCATCCTAGAGGGGATTCGTTTTTTTACAGAAAGCTAGAGAACATGCTTTTGACTTTGCTCAGTGCTCTGGTCTCTGTTGCAACTGCTCATACCTGCTGCTATGATGTAGAAGCAGCCTTAGACAAAGTGTAAACAATGCCAATTGTTGTATTCTAATAAAACTTTGTCTACAAAACCAGGTAGGTGCCAGATTTAGTCTATGGTCTATAGTTTGCCAACTTTGTGCCAGAATTGTGTCTCTGAAACCTTGCTACAAAGTGGAATCACTTGGAGCAGTTTAAAATCTGATAATGAGGTTAAGACAGAAAGCCATGGCTTTCATTCTTAGCACACTAAAAGAACCAAACAAACCTATGTATACTGGCCTCTCATCCTCAGGAATGTGGATTGAATTGACCTGGCCCATGGCCTATGCATCAGGATTATTTTTAAGTGCCACTAGATAATTTTAATGTGAGGTCAGGCTGGAAAACTTAGTCTTTCTGATGGAGGATCCGAGGCCCTCCAGGATCCCTAGTGAAGCCAAAGTTTTCTATTTCAAGGTCTGTGTAAGGAGAATCTTGGCCCATGTTAGCATGAGCTTGTGTGATTTACTCCAGAGGTAAGGAGGCCCTTAAGGTCACGTTTATCTTCCTCAAATATGAGAAGAATGGGCTTGCAAAATAGAGACAACTGTGATAAAATGCACTTTCTAGAACCCATGACCAACTCCTGCAGGGCCTGTGCTGCAAGCCTTGTTATTGTTTATTTTACAAACAGTCAATGGTACGCTTTTCCCTCCCAGGAGATGAAGACCCTTCTGTTTGGCTCTACCTTTTGCTGCTTCAGTGAAGAATGGAAACTTCAGAACTTTTCCTTCAGTGACACTGCCTCGTTAAAATACGGCATTGTGCAGAACAAGGCAGGTTGCTCTTGGGATCCCCAAGGACCATTCTTCTGGGTTTTCCCACATGAAGTGGGGACATCATTCACATGGTGACCTCTGAGGGCACCAGTGGGATGATCTGGCCTACCCCACAGTTACCAGGATGTCACTTGGTGTGGGCAGTTAAGATATGGTTGCTAGAGTGAGAAGGACCATTGTGATCCTTGCTGGGGACATTCTAGTCAAACTAACTTCCTCTGATACTGGGATGTCAACATGAGAGAACTGAATGTGGCCTTGAACATGCTTGGAGGCTTTGAGAGCCTTCATAGGACAACCCTTGGGAGGGGCTGGAGGTTTCCCAGGGAGAGCTGGAGAGGGTTGCTTTCAGAGAATGGACACAAGCACAAGGGTAGGAAGCATGTTTCAGGAAATGCCAGGGTATCCTGTATGCAGAACAGGAGTAGGAAGAGAGTGCAATGGTTGTTACAGAGCCAGAGGTAGGTGGGGGAAGCTTTGCACCTGCCCTGGACATATTCAGCAGGATAGACTCTAGAAAGACATGAAGTTGTTTCCGCTCTGAGGCCAAGGGCTGCAGGAGAGCTCCACTGGGCACATTCCTCAGTCATGGAGCTGCCTCTGCCTCTGCTGTCTGAGGAAGGACCCCGAGACTACCAGCTTCTGCTTCCCTCTGTGGTGTGGCCAAGCTCAGCTCCTTTTTTACCACAGCTTCAAGGGTATCCTGTACTATTGCTCTGACAATCCTTGGGCATGGTGGGAGCTGGCTGAGTGATCGAAAAACCCATGGTGGTGTTCCTATCATCACACCTGACTTTGTAAATAGTCACTTTGATCCCATGAGGAAGAATCTAAAACTGACCTCTTCTTTGGAGCAGGCTGATTGTCTCGGACAATATACATATAGACAGGTCACCTTGCTGAAGATGCCCTGTGACTGGGGCTAGAGGCTGGCGGGTGCAGTGGACAGCTTCTTGGGGCCATTTCACTGGTAGTGACACGTGTTTCTTTGCAGGGTGGTCCCTGTGGGGTTCTGGCGGCTGTTCAAGGCTGTGTGCTGAAGAAACTCCTGTTTGACGAAGGTAGCAGAACCAACTCTAATCTGTAAGTCGGTGCTCATCTTCCCTTTCCAAGCCTTCTCTGGAGTGTCCAGAATAAATAAGCAAGGGAGCTTGGGTGTTCCCTGATAGTTCCCATCTCCTGGAGGTCACGACAGGTGAAGGCATCTAGCTGGCAGGGCTCCTGCTGACCTGATTAAACGGACATGGTACTTTTGCTTCTAGGAGCAGGCAAAGTTAGGGAGTCATGCTTTGCTCCACATGGCAAGTTACCCACCTCCTCAGACCCCCTCCTCACCCATAAGTACCTGCTGACCCTCCTGACTAGGTCCTGGGCTCCCCCCTTGCTCCCTGCTTATCTCTTCTCTGTCAACATCCAGAACTACACATTCCAGCCAGCTCCACAGCGCATGACTTTCTCCAGTTTGTGGCTGTGTATTTTCCATTTCACACATAATGTGTTGTACCTGGGTGTCCCTGCTCATCTACATGGAGTCAGCACTCCTAGAACATGTCTGTGCAGTGAGGGAAGCAAGTGCTTTCTCCCCCTCCTCCCACCCAGAGGTGCCAACCGAGAGGTTTGAGGTTTGCTATTGATTTCCTGCGAGGCCAGCACTGCCGCTGCTGTCCAGAAGCACTTGACATGCCTGATGTGACAATATCTGCTGAATTTGGGACCCCTGCCACCCTCAGCAGGGGCCTTGCCTACTTCCCTTCTTAGCTTGGACTATAAATCATAGGGCTGGGATAGTGGTACCCTTCCCCTCATGGCTGCTGGAATTGAACGTGAGAGTCAGACAAAGAGACAGGTTATGGGGGTCATGCAGCTGCCAGAGGTGGGAGAGCAGGCTTCCTGCAGGTACATTTGAACCCTTCTGATGTCTGCAGAAGGAAGGAAGCTCCTTATTCTCTGTCATACATGCATGCCATACTTTAGTTCTTCTAAAGTTTCCTGCCACTCAACATATACCATCCAGTTCTTTCCCTATGTGCCCAAGCGGTTTGTCTGCTGGTCCCTTTCACCACCCTGTCAAGGATGGCCTTCCCTGAACTCCAGGGAAGGTAAGCCCATGCCCTGTCTCTAAATATACCATCACTCACTGTACTTTTGTTCATTGGTACTAGGTGTCTGCCTCCTCCCAAAGAATACAAGCCCCATGAGAACAGGGACTTACTTCCCTGAGCTGCCTGGTCCCCAGGCTGGTGATTTTGGGAGGTCCTTCTGTATGTTGACAATCTACTGTGTTGGAATCCAGCAAGTGCCTGGCCCACAGGACAGGCCCTTAGGATTTTTGTTGAATGAGTGCATGAACAATGAATGAGCTGTCCTGACAAACAGGGAGTGGAGGCAGAATGGTATTCCAGTAAAGAGAACAAGATGTGCAAAGGCCCTAGGGCAGGGAGAAAGAGGTTGCCTGAGGTGGCCAGAGATGGGGTAGGGCCAGGCAACCAGAAGGGCCTATGGGCCTTTGGGACTACCAGCAACTCTGGGTGAGCCTTGGCCCTGGCTCTCGTGAGTGATATCTTATGACTCATGTTGGCCCAAAGCACCTTCAGAGCCCCTTTAGATCCTTCCCTTTGGACTTTTGGAGGAGTTATGCATAGATGGTTTCCCAGTAGTCAGGACGCTGTGTTGAAGTTCCAGAAGTGGGATGCTGCCCTGGATGTAAGCTGTTAGTTCCTTATAGCCCACAGGAGAAGGGAGCCTGAGTTGTGAAGGCTGGAGGCCCCTCGGGTTGGAACCCAAGGTGATTCTGTGTCAAGTGATGCTCTCCTTCACTGGCCTTCACTGGCACATTGTTTAGCCCCTGCCAAGCTTTGCCTAGGCCTAATCTGCACACTGCTGCATAGGCGGCTGTAACAGCTCTGCTAGGGAAAGGAGCAGGAAGAAATGTGGCTTAGAGCTCCCATGTGTTGTGACCCGAGAAAGAAAGTGGGTTCGCCTAGACAAAAACCCAGAGGCCGAGCCTGTTGTATTTGCATGTGGGACTTGGGTCATGCTGGGCCTTGAGGAGGCAAACCGGTGAGGAGGAGGAGGGGGAGGAGGAGGAAGAGGAGGAGGGGTGGAGGGGGAGGAGGAGGGAAGTGCTGTTGGGAGTTACGTGGTGTATGTGGATTGTGCTCATGGTGGGAGCTATAATGTTGGGGCCTTGTGTTGTATGCAGCTTGTGTGGGGGAAGGTTATATTGTATGTGGGGCTGTACTATATGTTTGAATTACTGCATGTAGGTTATATTTTGTTAGGGAAGCTGTGGTGTGTGTGTGTGTGTGTGTGTGTGTGTGTGTGTGTGTGTGTGTGTGTGTTGTATTATGTATGGGTTGTATTACATTGAGGGGATTGTGCTGTATGGAGATTATATTTGTATGGGAGCTTTGTAATGTAGAAAAGTTACATCATATGTGGGATTGTATTGTATATGTGTGAATTTTGTTTTATGGGATAATTGTGTTCTCTTTATCTTGTGTGTGAGGTATGTAGCATGAAGGTTGTAGTGTACAAATTATATTGTGTGAGAGTTGTACTGTAAGTGGGATGTGTGGTGTGAGGGTTGTGTTGTATGGGAGCTGTGTTATATGTTGAAGCTGTGTTGTGTTGGAGGGTGTTTGGGTAGGTTATGTTATTTAAGTGGGTCATGACTGTAGGAGGATGTGTTGTATGTGGGTTGTGTTATATCAGTGGGTCATATTCTGTGTGGGGTGGGTAATTTTGTATGTGTTGGTTATGTTGTGTGAGGGTTGTGTTGTGTGAGTAGGTTTTGTGTGTGGTTCATATTGTGTGAGTACGTGACATTATGTATGTAGAATCTGTCTGTGGAAGATGAAGCTCCCTTTCTTTGGGCCTGGTAGCTCTGGACGCTGCCCATTATCCCTCTGCATCCCACATCTCTGTGGTACCCAGGCTCCTTAGTGTTCCTTCCTACTCAGTCAGAGGAAGCAGGAACACCTGGTTCAGCTCTCTGAAATCCAAGGAAACTTAGGAAGAAATGGTGGAGGGGTGATCTGTAAAAGTCCCTAAGATCCTCCGAGCTGACCATCATGGACTCTTCCTGGCCAGAGTGCTCTGGGTAAGGGCACTGCTGGACTCCCCAGTCTCCTACCAGGGGAACAGTGCCGCTGACTTAGACAGTTAGGGCTGGGGAGGAAACCACTGGGCACACAGGGCCCACTACTGATAGAAGCACAAAGCAGGGCACTGTTCTGGGAGCAGGAGGAGGTGGGAGAGAGCCGTTTGCTAGTGTTGTGCAGGCTTAAGGCTACAGTAGGCATCTTTGTCCAGTGGGTGTGGTGTGTCCTGAGGGAGGGAGTCAGTGTGCTGGGGGTGAGGTGACAGAGAGCACAGGAACTGGTCAGGACCTGGGCTATAGTGGTGGTTGAGGGCTCACATCTCTGAGTTAGTAAACTGCCCTCAAGTTTCACTCCTTGAGAAAATGCAGGCAGAGCCTTTTTATTTTTTCTCTATTTTTTAATTTAAATTAGAAACAAGATTGTTTTACATGTCAATCCCAGTTCCCTCTCCCTCCCATCCTCCCCTGACCCCCACTAACTCCCTATCCCCATCCCCTTTCTGCTCCCCAGGGAGGGTGAGGCCTTCCATTCGGGAATCTTCGGAGTCTGTCATATCCTTTGGAGCAGGGCCTAGGCCCTCCCCTGTGTGTCTAGGCTGAGAGAATATACCTTCATGTGGAATAGGTTCCCAAAGTCCATTCGTATGCTAAGGACAAACAGTGATCCACTACCAGAGGCCCCATAGATTGTGAGGCCTCCTCACTGACACCCACGTTCAGGGAGTCTGGATCAGTCCCATGCTGGTTTACCAGCTATCAGTTGGGGTCCATGATTTACCCCTTGTTCAGTTCAGCTGTTTCTGTGGGTTTCGCCAGCTTGGTCTTGACCCCTTTGCTCATCACTCCTCCCTCTCTGCAACTGGACTCCAGGAGCTCAGCCCAGTGTTTAGCTGTGGGTGTCTGCTTCTACTTCCATCAGCTGCTGAAGACTCTAGGATGGCATATAAGGTAGTCATCAATCTCATTATCAGGGGAGGGCATTTAAGATAGTCTTTCCATTATTACTTACATTGTTAGTTGGTGTCATCCTTGTAGATCTCTGGACATTTCCCTAGTGGCAGATTTCTCTTTAAACCCATAATGGCTCCCTCTATGATGGTATCTCTTAATTTGCTCTCCTCTATTCCTCCCATGACTCGACCTTCCTACTCCCCCATGTCCTCTTCTTCTCCCCTTCTCTTTCTCCTAGCTCCCTCTCCCCTCTCCCATGTTCCCAATTTGCTCAGGAGATCCTGTCTCTTTCCCCTTCTGTGGGGGACCATGTATGCTCTGTCCCCTTCTTTGGTGGACCATGTATGTCTCTCTTAGGGTCCTCCTTGTTTCCTAGCCTCTCTGGTGGTGTGGATTGTAGGCTGGTAATCCTTTGCTCTATGTCTAAAATCCATACATGAGTGAGTACATACCATGTTTGCCTTTTTGTGACTGGGTTACCTGGCTCAGAATGGGTTCTTCTAGTTCCATCCATTTGCCTATGAATTTCAAGATTCCATTGTTTTTTCCCACTGAGTAGTACTCCGTTGTGTAAATGTACCACATTTTCTTTATCCATTCTTCAGTTGAGGGGCATTTAGGTTGCTTCCAGGTTCTGGCTATTACAAATAGTGCAGCTGTGAACATCGTTGAACAGATGTCCTTGTTGTATGAATGTGCTTCTTTTGGGTTTATGCCTAAGAGTGGAATTGCTGGATCTTGTGGTAGATTGATTCCCATTTTCCTGAGGAACCTCCATACTGATTTCCAAAGTGGCTGTACAAGTTGGCACCCACACAAGCAGTGGAGGAGTGTTCCCCTTTCTCCACATCATCTCCAGCATGAACTGCCATTGATGTTTTTGATTTTAGCCATTCTGACAGAAGTAAGATGGTATCTCAGAGTTGTTTTGATTTGCATTTCCCCGATGGCTAAGGATGTTGAGCACTTTCTTAAGTGTCTATAAGCCTATTTTAGATTCCTCTATTGAGAACTGTCTATTTAGTTCTGTGTCCCACTTTTTAACTCAATATTTGGTGTTTTGGAGATTAGCTTCTTGATCTTCCAGGATCATGCAAGTGAGTAGTCTATTGAACTCGGCCCATCATGGTGCAGATGGGAAAACCAAGGCCCACAGATGGAGAGATGCTAGATCTGGGTCAAAGTTGGCGCCATTGCTGAGCCAAGACTGGCCTGTGACATCTTGCCTGTCATAGCATGTTGCTGCACACTAGAAGCAGTGGGGACCAGAGACAGCAGAAGGAGATAAGACTGTTGGAGTTGGAAACAGCTGATGGATGCTCCAGTACTCTTTAGGTTCTCTGTGTACAAAGGACTCCTTAACAGAGCCTCCTCTGCCCCAGTGTGGTAAAACTGGGGCAGAAGAGCACAAGTGTGTGTGTGTGTGTGTGTGAGTGTGTGTGTGGTGTGTGTGTGTGTGTGTGTG